GCTGTGTTCATCCAGCCCTGCACCTTGTTATCTCAGATTCTCCAGTATCTGCAGTTCCTACTACCCATGAATATTTCATGACCCGTTAAGTGCAGACTGCTATGCCCATCTTTGTCTTACTGTGCAACAAGGTTTATTGAACATCTATTACCTTTTATAAATAGCAATAACCTAATTTCAAATAACTGGCTGCTGTTGTAAACAGTAGCTTTAAACATTCCTGCAACTTCAAATGCATTTCAGCAGTACTCTGCTACCTTGTAGCTTTATAGTTCACTGTTCAGCAGTGAACCTACCATGACCTTTTGATGTCTAAATGCATGTCATAATTTACGACTTGCAGTCAAATTGGGGCCCTGTTAAGGGCAGTTACAGTTGAAGTTCATGAAAGAAAACATGTATGGTTTTGAATCAACTTTCTTTGCTTATGTACAAACCTATATTTTCCACAACCAAACAATTAACAGCAAACTCACTTTCATTTTCATCCAATGACTGGAATGTAACAGCAATTATTAGGAACTTGTTAAAGTAATAGTCTTGTCCTGTCAGGTTTAGCCTACATTCCTTAATCTTTCACATATATTGATCAAGAAAGTGTCACCTTACGTGTAATTTACTTGAAAATTCTGGCCTTCAGAATTGTAATTACTCAAAGTTTCTCAGTAATGCCTAAAGAAAGAGCTAACTGAAAGCTAATTTCTCAACGTATCTTGAGTTGTTGTTGTTATCACATTTGATGCATAAAATGTGTTGGGAGGAGGTAGACTGGAGGAGGAATTTGATGAATTCCGGCGACGCCAAGAAAGGCATTGCAGAGTCCATTTTTTCACACAACACTGTCTGAGCATTAGTATGTCCTGACAGCCTATCCAGAGAGCTGTACCATATTCAATACAAATGGACTTGACCTAAACTTTAATGCTACCATCTATCAAGTATCTGTATTTTGGTTGAAGGCATTCCAATACAATTCTGAACATTATTATTGAATGTGTCACATTTAATTCACTGTGTTAGAGATTAACAGTATTTGTTCCCATTACATTGATTGCACGCATTTTGTGCCTTGCCATTCAATGCATTTTAATCTGAATTATTTTAAAATGAAGTGTAAAATAAAAATTGTCTTCTATGATTTAAGAAATATTGAAGGGCTAGAAAAATGCCTATCTCAATAAAAGCGCAATGTGACATGGAAACATATGGACATCACTTTATTAAAACTGACCTGACCAAAGCAGAGGGGATGGCAGGAAGTTGGGAACATTGATTCATTTGATCAGGGGCTTTCTCAAGTCTGTTCAACCTAGACAGGGAATTAGCATCATACTTCTGAATTTCCTGATCAATTAATGTGGCAATATTGTCAAACAAATGATTCTTATTTGTAAGAAGCTTCATTGAATTGGAACGACTGCAGATAACCTTCACTGGGAAGGTTTGTGCTGGTCATGAAACAGAAGGAAGATGCAGGGAAAGGTTGGGAGATACAAGAAGGCAGGGGTACATAGAAGTAATGAGAGGACAGGGCCAGGTGGGAGAGAAAAAAGGATGGCTCAGATAGGGAAAGAAAAGGAA